ATCTATCTATCTATCTATCTATCTATCTATCTACCTACCTATCTATCATCTAACTATCTTTGGAATCCTGTTTACACAGCATCGGGTTGTTAACTAAAAAGCTCAAACCACCAGGTACTCTTTAGGAAAAAGATGCGGTAGTCTGCTTCTATAAAGACTGACAGCTTTAGACAGCCTACAGAGCTACTCTGCTCTATAGTATCACTATGAGTGGATGTCAACTTGATGACATTGGAATTGGCACATATTTTATATCTTCAATAAGTATACATAGATACAGATATGGAAGGCTAAGTAAACAGTACTCAACTACTAAAATAAAAGTTGATGCTTCAAACCCTTTCTGAAGGACCAGGATAGTAAAAAACAACCCCCACACCCCTCCCTCCAAAATAATTTTATAACACATGGAATTATCACTGTGTAACACAGGGCATTATCACAAGTTGTATTTCACTAGGTGGCAATGGATTTCATTTTATTTTTTAATATGGACAGTCCCTTGGTGGTACAAAAAATTAACAAATTTGACTGCTGACTGAAAGTTTGGTGTTGCAAGTTCACCCTGAGGCACATCAACAGAAAGTTATTAAAAACCCTATTGAACACAATTCTATACTGACACACATCATGAGTGGGTTTTGTAATTGTTATAGCCATAGTCATAGTCATAGATATAAATCTAGTGTCCAATATGACTAAGAGACTTCTCCACTCATCATAATAAACTAAGCCATGCTTCCAAAATTTAATACTGAATAAATAAATTTCAAGCTTAAAACCTCAAAAATCTCCTTGTTGAATTTAGAATTAAATCCACTATCTAAAACCTACAAGGCTCTACTTGATGAGACACGCTCCAAAGAGCTAGAGATACAGATTCACATTTTCTTTAGGCTCCAACAATTTTCTAAACAATTAGCGTTATACATTTCTGTAAATGTGGAATATGGAAAACGTAGGAAGACCAAGTTCGTTTATTTATTTCTGATTTAATTAAAATGTTAGATAGTAATGTTTTGAAAATACTGGTATAACTGTCAGAAAAATGAAATATGAGTCAGTCTATTTAAATTATAGTCCTATAAGGCTACTGATTTATTACATATGTTTCATTAGACAAGTTATTTTATTTTCTTGGCCCAACTGAAGGTTTATTTTAATAGTCTCAGAGTTTTCTAACATCTTACTTCATGATGCTATAGCTAAAAATGTATTTTTTGGAGAATTTTTCAGAACTAGGGCATTCACAGTAGGAAGGCCCTTAGGGTGTCTGTGGGTTATGATGCTTTAAAAGTAGAAAAGAAATTTAGGAGCCTAACTGACCATACACTTTAACAATGATCGAATAGGAAAAATTCAAGGTGTAAAATAAAAAAGAAATCAACCCAAGGCCTTCTGTCTATGAGCAAATATATTGAGTTGACCTGTAAAAGAACATATTTCTTCACCCTTGATAGGAAAGTTTTATAACTAGAAATCGATAATTCCTGATAATAACATAATGTGGGATGGAATTTTTCTCAAGTTTCAATATATATATATATATATGTGATATAATATGACAATTATTTTTACGTCTGTTATCTACTTTGGTGTAAGTTACATATGTATAACATTGGAAATGGCATGTTGTTGTTGTTTGCTGCTATTGCATTGTTTCCGTCTCATAGTGTCCCTATGCACAGCAGAATGAAAACAATGGCGGATCCTGCACCATCCTCACTATTGTTAAGTTTGAAC